AGTAAGTGGCAAGTGTCTGAGGCTGGATTTGAACTCAGGTCCTCCTGACTCCAAGGCTGGAGCTTTGTTTACTTCAACACCTAACTGCCTCCATTTAATAATATTAAAGTCAAGGTTACTGGTCTTCAGTTTTCAGTCTTTGTTCTTTTCCCTTTTTTAAAAATCAAGACATTTGATCATCTTCACTCCCATAGTAACCTTTCTATTCCTAATGATCTTCCTTAAAATTTTTTTTAAAATTCTGAACTTAACGAATATAAACTGTCCATATACAAAGCTGTTATGCATAGCTTGTTTTTGAGTACATAATAAAGTCATTATTTCAAAGCTGTCTTGAGCGTGTCTTTCTGAGCTGTCTTCTATTTTCTTCTGATCATTTAAAAGGTTTCACTGGCTCTCTTTTCTCCCTTCCTTCCTTCCTTCCTTTCTCTTCCTTCCTTTCTCTTTCTTTCTTTTTCTTTCTTTCTTCTCCTTCTCCTTCCTTCCTTCCTTCCTTCCTTCCTTCCTTCCTTCCTTCCTTTCTTTCTTTCTTTCTTTCTTTCTTTCTTTCTTTCTTTCTTTCTTTCTTTCTTTCTTTCTTTCTTTCTTTCTTTCTTTCTTTCTTTCTTTCTTTCTTTCTTTCTTTCTTTCTTTCTTTCTTTCTTTCTTTCTTTCTTTCTTTCTCATTTACCTCTCCTACCCTTTAATAAAAAAAATAACCACTCTTTCTTGTAACGGAAAAGCACTGTCCAGCAAAATAAGCCCTCATACTGGTTATGTGCAAAAAAAGTACATCTCATTTTCCATCTCTAGTTTCTCACTTCTTTCTCTGGAGCTGGGCATCATACTTTATCATGGGTCTGCTTAAATCATGGTTGGTCATTGCACTGATCAGAACTCTTAAGTCTTTCAAAATTGCTTTTCTTTATAATGTTGTAGTCATTGTATCCACTGTTCTCCTGGTTCTGCTCACTTCACTCTGCATCAGTTTATACAAGTCTTCTCAGGTTTCTCTGCATCCCAGGGGAGTGAAAGAACTGTCAGATGATCATCATTGCCAGTGATCTTTGAAAGGTCAAGAGGAAAAAAAATAACAAAAATCTCTGGAGGAATAAAAAACTCCAAAAATATCATGAGAAATAATGAAAAAGTTCATCCTTGCATTGTGTAATTCATATGGCACAGTAATATTCTGTTACCTTCATATATTATATTAAAGGCAAAGTGGCATAACAGAGAGCCAGCCTTAAATCTAGGAAGGCTGAGGTCAAGTCCTGCCTCTGACACATCCTAGTTGTGTGATCCCAGGCAAGGTATCTCAGTGTTCTTGGCAACTCTCAAAGATGATGCCTTTCTGAGAGGGAGTTTCCTCATGTGCCTTATACCAATGAAAGTACAGGTCTTGTCTGTATCCTATTCATATACCATGATTTGTTGAGCCATCCTGTAATTGATGAACTCTCCTTCAGCTTTCAATCCTTTGCTACAACAATTTGTGCTGCTATTAACATTTTTGTGCCTATGTTTAATATAAGTATATATTAATATTTTATATATTTTAGTTCATATGAGTTTAATTACTTTGATTATAAAGTGCTTTCTAGAATGGCTAGACCAATTTACAGTTTCACCATCAATACATTAATATGTCTCTCCTTCCATATCCCTCTAACAATTATCATTTTTCTTTTTTGTCATCTTTAGCAATCTGATAAGGGTGTGGTAGAGACTCAGAGTTGTTTTGTGCTTCTATTATAAGTGATTTGAAAAATTTTTTAAATGGTTGAAGATAGTTGGGATTTCTTCTCTTGAGAACTTCTTGCTCCTATCATTTTTTTTTTATGAGGCAGTTGAGGTTAAGTGACTTGCCCTGAGTCACACAGCTAGTAAGTATCAAGTTTCTGAGGTCAGATTTGAACACAGGTCCTTCTGACTCCAGGGCCGGTGCTCTATCTACTGTACCACCTAGCTGTGCCTCACATCTTTTCAGCATTTATTTATTAAGGAATGGATCTTGTCCTTAAGTATTTGAATCAATTCCCAATATATCTTGGATAGCAGACCTTTATCAGGGAAACTTGTTGCAAAGACTTTTTTTCCCCCAGTTAATTATTTCCCTTTTAATTTTAACTGCATTGATTTATTTGTGCCAAAGCTTTTTGATTTTGTGTAAACCAGATTATCCATTTTCTTTTCTGTTTCCCTCCCTATTCCTTTTTTAGTCAAGAACTCTTTGACAGAAGAGTTGCAAAAGATGTCTTCTTTGGTTTGTTTATGATAGGGCCTTTTATATCTAGGGCATATATCCATTTGGAGCCTTTTGTATATGGTGTGAGATGTTGGTCTAAACAATTTCTGCCAGGTTGTTTGTAGTTTTCCTAGCAGTTTCTGTGAAGTAGTGAACCTTTACCCCAGTAATTGAATGGGGTCTTTGGGTTTATTGAACACTATGCTACTGTGTTCATTTGCATCTGTATATTGTATACCTGTTCTGCTCCAGTGATCAATTAATATTAAAAAATAATTACCAAATTCTTTTGATGATTACTCCTTTTTAGTGTAGATTGAAATGGGTACTGTTGGACCTCTTTCCTTTTCATTTTTTTTTTCATTATTTCCCATGATGTTCATGACCTTTTTGGTTCTTCCAGATGAATTTTGCAATTTCCTCCCCACCCCCTTCATGACCTTTCAGTGATGATTATCAGCCAGTTCTTTGACTCTCCTGGTATGTAGGTCATTGTGGTCAGGTGACTTGAACTCATTAAGGTCAGTGACCTTCTCATTTCCTTACTTATTTTGAGCATCTGCTTCCTATTAAATATTTACAGTCTCTAATTTGAAGTTCAAAGGTCATTTTGCTTGGCAGTGAAAATAGAAGCCAAATTAAGAGTTGCCTTCTTTCTGTTGTCCACTGCTACCATCACCATTGTTATCATCAGCATCATCATCATCATCATCATATCCATTGTGATCTTATTTTTATTTTGAGGCTTTTCTTTTCCAATATAGTTCACAAAACCTTTTTTGCTGCCCTTTAATTTCCTTACTCACCTCAGTTCATCCTGGGAGATTGCACTCTTTATGCTTACAGGACCTTACTGAACTTTTTCGTTCATATTCCATTACCTGCCTTTGCTTCCATCTTCTCTAAATATTTTTTAAAATAAAAAAATAGATTTTTATGCTTCTTGTTTTTAGATCATAGTGATTTTCTGATATACACTCACCCCTTTTGCCATCAAAACTCCCTTTGTAACAGAAAAAGCAATTAAGCAAAACCAAGTAACGGGATGACCCCATTTAACAGAACATATAACATTTCACATTCACAATCTCCCCCACTTATTTAAGGAGAGGAAGGAAGTGTGCTTTCCTGGGGCTGTGATTGATTCTTACAATTAACTAGAATTTGGTTTTACTTTTCGGTGTTGTTTTCATTTCCATTGTTGCAGTCATTGTGTCTTGTTCTTCTGGTTCTGTTTATTTCAATATGCATTGATCCACATAGGTCTTCCTATCCTTCTCTGGATTTCTCATGTTTATTGTTTTTTAATATGAAATAATATGCCATTGCATTTATGCCTTTTAAAATTCAAGTTGGTTGATGAATTTCTTGAACACCCACATCACTCTCTCTTTACTTATTATGTCCTCAAAATTTAATGTTTTTGAAATTTCCATCCTTCATGAGCTCATTTCCCTTGTAAAGATTTAGCCCATGGGATTTCACCTATCTTTTCTTTGAACCCTTTGAAGTCTATTCTGTGGGAATCTGGGACACATCTTAGCCCCTGCCTGGCTCTCTTCTATTTTTCTGTCACAAATTCTAAGATGGCATAGTCATTTACCCCCAAGGTTTCCATTACTTCTGTCCTAAGAACTAGCTCCTTGTTGTTGGTGTGGATCAGATCTGCAATACAAGTTTCCTTTCTTGGTTCCCCCACCATTTGAAGGATTATGTTATTGTTAACATAAATCACATTATTAGTGGCTCTGTTTTGGCCAAGAGAGAGCAACCACAAATTTTTGGATAACTGAAGTCCCCTATCCCTAATAATATCGTGCTTCCAATATAACTTTCTACCTTTATCTTAGTACTTAGAACAGTCCTGGCAAATCATAGGTGCTTAATAAATGCTCGTTGACTTCTTGACTCTACAGTAAAGCTCTTGACCCTCTCTCTAACTTCCTGTTTAGAGATATTCTCTTTTCCTTCTAACATTTTTGTCCACTGAGTACTTTTCTGTTCATAATTTTTTCTCCTTCCTTCCTTCCTTTCTTCCTCCCTCCCTCCTTTTCCCCCTCCATCCCTTCCTTCTTCTCTTCCTCCCTCCTCTCCCCCTTTTCTCTTTCTTTCTTTCTTTCTTTCTTTCTTTCTTTCTTTCTTTCTTTCTTTCTTTCTTTCTTTCTTTCTTTCTTTCTTTCTTTCTTTCTTTCTTTCTTTCTTTCTTTCTTTCTTTTTTCTTTCTTTCTTTCTTTCTTTCTTTCTTTCTTTCTTTCTTTCTTTCTTTCTTTTTTCTCTTTCTTTCTTTCTTTCTTTCTTTCTTTCTTTCTTTCTTTCTTTCTTTCTTTCTTTCTTTCTTTCTTTCTTTCTTTCTTTCTTTCTTCCTTCCTTCCTTCCTTCCTCTCTCTCTCTCTCTCTCTCTCTCTCTCTCTCTCTCTCTCTCTCTCTCTCTCTCTCTCTTTCTTTCTTTTTTCTCCTACTCCACCCACCATTCTCTCTCAAATTGGTCCTATTTATTTGTACTCAAAATTCTGACTAGTTTGAGCTTATTAGGGACATAGTATCCCTCAAGGTTTTTCCCTAGGTCCACTACTCTGATCTCCCTAAACCTTGGATCACGACTAATCTCATCCTGTCTGGGTTGTCACTAAAATAATCTGCCTTTCACTCATCCAATTCAAGGTGGCGAAAATTTGAAAAACTTTACTAAGAAATTAAGGATAAATTAAAAAAACCCCCAAAGTTAAAGTGACCAAGTTTGAATAGGCATACATAGTCTTTTGTTTCATCTTACCTGACCCTGTCAGAAGATTCTTCCTGTCCTCTCCTGATTCTTTCCTGCATGGTAAGGATGGGGCAGTGGAAGAGTAAATCTGTAACCCAAAAGGGAAACGGTGGATCATTTAGACTAGACTGTACTACCCTTAAAAGAACTCACATATATTGAGTGTTTTAAGATTTACAAAGTACTTTCCTGGAAATGACCCGGTGAGGTCATTTGGCAATGCAGCCATTATTATCCCCTCATTTAAAAGAAGAGGAAATTGCAGCTCAGAGTTTAGTTATTCTTCCAAAGTTGTACTCAGTCAATAAGCATTTATGAAGTGCCAGGCACGGCGCTAAGCTCTGGGGATACAAAGAAAAGCAAAAGACAGTTCTTGCTCCAGAGTAGCTCAAAGTTTAGTGAGGAAGACAACATGCAAACAATAGTGTACAAACAAGTTATGTACAGGATAAATTGGAGATAATCAACAGAGGGAAGGCATTAGTGTTAAGGGGGATTGAGAAAGGCTTCTTGTAGAAGGTGAGTGTTTTTTTTTTTTAAAAGGCAATTGAGGTTAAGTGACTTACCCAGGGTCATATAGTAGTGTTAAGGGGGATTGAGAAAGGCTTCTTGTAGAAGGTGAGTGTTTTTTTTTTTTAAAAGGCAATTGAGGTTAAGTGACTTACCCAGGGTTATATAGTTAGTATCTAAAGTTGGATTTGAACTCAGGTCCTCCTGACTCCAGGGCTAGCACTCTATCCATTGTACTACCCTGATGCTCCTGGAAGGTGAGTTTTTTTCCTTTGGCAAGGCAATTGGGGTAAGTGACTTGACCAGAATGACACAGCTAGTAAGTATTATGTGTCTGAGGCCAGATTTGAACTCAGATCCTCCTGAGTCCAGGGCCAGTGCTCTATCCCTTGTGCCGCCTAGCTGCCGCTAGAAGGTAAGTTCTTATCTGAGACTTTAAGGAAGCCAGGGAAAGCAGGCAGCAGAGAGGAGGAGGGAAAAAATGGAGAGCAAAGAGACCTTTCCACATAGTAAAACTTTCACACTTATGGAGGAGTATTTTTGTGTATTGGTCATTACCATAGACACTGACTCCATGTTTAGGCTCCCTATTTTCTCCCCAGTGGGAGGTGAATAGGTGAATTTGGTGAATAGGAAAATTTGAGGAAAAACATTTCCTCACAAATCCTAGGTAGAGTCCCACTGTTGAATGAATTAAAATAGAAATCTGTGGCAGATACTCCATCTAAATCACCTTTGGACCCTCTCCCCTATCCTCATCCCATAGCATACAACACCTGTTGCTAAATGTAATACGTGGTTAATTGAATAAATGGATTTGTTGAATGAATGAAGGTGTCTTTTAGTGGAAGATAATGGGAACTTCACTAGACAAGATAGTCTTTGACATGGTAATGGGGGGTTGAGCTACTCAATTTCTGAGAATGGAATAGGGTGAACCCTGCAAGGCAGAAGAGTTGGGCTAGGTGAGGCAATGATGCTAAGAGGTAGAATGTCAAGAAGGTCGTAGCACTTTTTGCAAAATAAAACAAAACTGAAGCAGTGGAGTGGAGTAAAGAGAGATGAGAGAGAACACAAGATAAATGAATCTAAACCAGGAGATTGGAGGAACTACTTTTCAAAAGGGCCCTAGGGAGAGAAAAGATGGAAGGGATCATAGGATTTAAAGTTGGAGGGGACTTCCTTCAGTGCAACTCATTCATTTTGCTTATGAAGAAACAATCCCAAGGAGGTGAAGGGGCTCGTACTCAAGGAAGAAGCAGAACAGAGACAAGCTTAGTTTTTGTGACTCCCATTCTTTTTCCACGATAAGCCACAGAGATCAGTGGGAAACGTTATGGGGGGGGGAAAGGTGGAGACAGGGAATACAGCCTGGGAAGGAGAAATTTCAGTTTCCAAGACTACCAAGTCAGGGTAGCTTTCTGATTGGAGGCTACTTTGGGGGTGGGGTTATACATCCTACTTCATCACTCATGGTTCATGATTATAGTCTGTGGAATGAGGGTGGAGAACTTCATCATGTTCCAAACCTTATTAAATGTCAAGATCCATACACGATGTATTTATGTGACAGCTCCCCACCCCCAACACAATAAATATGGGAAAGCCTTTTCATCATCATTCACTCTATCCAACACTCATTTATACTCGCAGAGTTTGGTTTTCTTCTTATTCAATTCCACAAAACTTAATCAAGTACCTATTTGGTGTGTATATTGAACCTTGTATATTCACTGTTGGGGAATGTACAAAGTTTAGAATTTAAATGTGGTCCCTATTCTATTTGAAGAACGCCCTGAGAGTGGTCTCCAAATATAACCACACCATCTTAGGAGGCTTGGCTAGGGTGAAAAGGGAGAAGCAGAGGATGAATCCCAAGAATTTTGCTTATTATGCATTATGCATAAAATAACTGCCCAGACTTAGTTAAGGTTTTTTTTCTCATTGTTTGATTAAAAAGCCTAACCTGATTGATGGAGTAGTCTTCTCCCACTTCCTGTGTCTCACCAACATTTCAAGCTTAAGCAATACTCTCCTCTTGTCTCTTCTTTCCTTTGCCGATGGCTCCTACCATCACCACCTGCCCAGACAGAGCTCAGTGCTTTTGGGAACTAAAAACAACTCAAGGTTCACATCAGGATTCTTGTTTATACTACTTTTAGTTGCCTTTGAAAAATGGTTTTTATTGATATCATTTGTTTTTTACGTCTTTATAGTTTTCCCTAGTATCCCTCACCCTTCCCCTCTCCCTCCCAGACAGGTATCCCATACACTCATTTAGTTTAAGCAAAATATGACCTTGTCTCAGACTTGGTCTAAATCCTGTCTGGGAAGTATAAAAAGAATTAATCCCTAGGACTTAAGTGTATCTAATATTCAACGCAATGAAGGTAGAAAGGATCAGAAAATAAACCAAGAATTGAAAAGACTGTAAAAAGGATGGAAAGGTAAAAAGTTGGCTACAAAAGCATATAAAAGAGACATGAATTTATTGAAATAAATTTTGAGATCCTTTATCTTGGGAACAGTCTTCTGTGTCCCACTTTGTCTTTTGGGACTGGTTCAATGGTATGTCAAGGCTTATGAAGCTTTCTATGATAAACCCATGGACTAAAAGACATCACTACTAGTATGACTTACATTTCTATAGTGCGTTAAAGTTTGCACAGGGCATCCCTAACAACACTTTGAAGTAGGTAATATAAGGATTAAATAATTTGTATTGATATCTTCTGTTTACATACCACTTGTTTACTATCACTAATATATCCTTTCCCTCACACCCTCCCAGAGAGCCATCTCTTATAAAGAATAAAAAAAGAGGAGGGCAGTTAGGTGGCTCAGTGAGTAGAGCACCGGCCTTAGAGTCAGGAGGACCTGAGTTCAAATCCAGCCTCAGACACATAATACTTCCTAACTGTGTGACTCTGGGCAAATCACTTAACCCCAGTTGCCTCACTAAAGAAAAAAAAAAGAGGAAGAAAAAAAGTTCAGTAAAACTAATCAACATAACCCCAAAATCTTGCCTTAGGCAGTGTTCTATACTCATGGTCTCCACCTACATAAAGAAGTAGAAGTGTCTTTTTATAATTCTTCTTTTACATGTCATTATAATGTTGAAGAATCATTCAGTTTTGATTATTTTGTTGTTATTCTTTCCATTTATATGATTGTGCCATTCATGGATGTTGTTTTCCTGGTTCTTATTATTTCACTTTGCATCAGTTCCTATGTCTTTTCATGATTTTCTGTATTCATTCTATTCTTTGTTTTCTTTTAGAATAGGAATATCCCATTATATTCATGTTCCACAATTTATTTAATTATTCCTTGATCAGAGGGCATCTACTTTGTTTCCAATTCTTTGCTACCACAAAATAGCAAGTATAATTTGTGATATGTTATAAATATTTGTATACATGTGGAGTCTTTCTTTTTGGCATTTACCTCCTTGGAGTATGTGCCTAGCGGTGGCCTCTTTGGGTCAAAAGGTATAGTATTTTAGTCACTTTCTTTGCAGAGTTCCTGCTCTCCTGAATTGTTGGAGAAATTTACAGTTCTACCTATGATGCATTAATGTGCTGTATTTCTTCAACCACCACCCCCAACATTAACTTTGCCATCTTCTCTCATCTTTGCCATTTTGCTCAATGTTAAGTAAAACTTCAGGGTTGTTTTGATGTGCATTTCTGTTATTTGGATTATTCTCTCATCTGATTGTTAATGGTTTGCAATTTCTTTTGAGAACTATTTGTTTATATTCTTTGACTACTTATATATTGGGCAATGACTGTTGGTCTCATGCATAGTGTGTCCCAAACATCTTAGTGCAGTTTTAAGCTTTAATTAGCTTTGGAATACTGTATATTTCTGTCACTTGTTTGGTATCTTCAGTATCTTCAGAAAGATTTTTTCCCTAGTTAACCTCTTTCCTTATTATCCTGGTTGCATTAGGTTTATTCACTCCAAAGATTTTCAATTTCATGTGGTCAGAATAACTTATTTTAGCTTTTAAAATAACTTTTATCCTTTTTTTCAGTTAACCCCCCCCCCCGTCCATAAAAGGTGTATGATGTGTTTTTCTTCGATTTCTTATGTTAATGTTTTAACGTTCAGGGCACGTATTTATTTTAAATTTATTGTGATATATGTTGCAGATGTTGGTCTAAACTGATTTTCAGTTTTCCTGGCAATTCTTGCCAAATGTACAGTTCTTTTCTACGTAATTTATGTTTTCATATTTCTGTAATACTGGGATTATTGAGTTCAATTATTTCTGATTCTTCCTTTACTAGTCTGTTCCTTTAGCCTACTTTTCTAATTTTTTATTGTTTTAGCTTGCAGTTTAGAAGTGCTATTCTCTCTTTATTCCTACTTCCCTCTCTACCCCAATATTTCCCTAGACATTATAGGTTTTTGGTTCTTCCAGTGAATTTTATTCTTTTGAATATTTTATTTAGCTCTTATTATTTTATTTAACTCCATAAAGTAGCCCTTTAGTTGGCATAGCATTAAATCTATGAAATAACTGGTGGTATTGTAATTTTCATGAAATTATTATGGCATAGCTATCAGCAT